CAAAGGACTGAACCAAGGTGGTGGGGCCTGGAGGGAAAAAACATTGGAGGCACTGGGTAGATTTAGCTGGAGAAGGAAAGTCTTCGGGGGACCCGATAACTGCCTTCAGTGTCGTTAGAAGACGAGGTGGAAACATTCGGGGTCGCTCCGGAAGACAAGGCAAGAAACTGGGTTTAAATGGCAAGGAAGTTGCCTTCAGCTGGAGGCCAGGAGAAGGGCAACAAAGAAGCTGTTCCCATTCGTTGGGGGGTTCAGTGGGACCCCCTGCTCTCATTCCCAAGGGGCAGATCAAGACCAGCTTCTTCTGAGGGGCCTCTGCTCTGCCCCGGAGCAGGAATTCTTCCAAGTACACCCTGGAAGCTCAGGGCTGTCCTTGGGGTGTGTCAAAGGGTCACCCCGTGACCCTGGGAATTGGTGGGAAGCCCTCTGCTCCTCGCCAGCAGTGGGGCTTCCCTGCTGCTGCACCAGCGAGAGTTGAGTTGGGCCCCACCCGGCAGGCTCTGCCTTCGATTTCCGTGGGCAGCTGCGCCCTGCTCCCTTCGGCTCTTGCTGGGCCGCTGCATCCCGCACGGCTCACTCTTGCTTGGGGGGTGAGGCCGGGGTGAGGCCTGGGGCGTGCCTTGGATGGGCCCCTAACCAGGAGCAGCAGCTTTCACCCGTGAGATCAGGAGCCACCCCCAGCAGGCCACTCGGCTGTCCCTTGATGAGAGGCAGCGTGGGTCAAAATGTCGTTCGTAACGTGCCAAAGCGTCAGGCCGCGCCATCTCCCCTCTCGAGGAAGAAGAATGGCTTTTCCTCTGCCTGCCCGGAAGCTCAGCCTCTTCTCTTCTTTTCCCTTCTTTGGCCCAGGGGAACAACGATGACCTGATTCTCTCCTGCTGCCTCCACTACTGCAACGACAGAGCCAAGGACTTCATGCCAGCTAAGAAAGGTGCGCGGGGTGGAGGAGGGCCCAGGGGGCCACCAGGCCCCGCTGCAGGGCTCGCTTTGGAGGGGGAGAGTTGCCGTTCTTCAGAAAGCGGCGGGGGGGGCAGTTTACGGCTGCCGGGAAGAGTGAGGCGGGGCGTTAATTGCTCGGTGCCGGTCCTTGGTCCCCAGACTCAGGGCATTCCCACCGCCTCCTTTCTGGAACGTGGCTGGGCTGAGGGGGCCCCTCCGGTCCCACGTTGCCTTCTGCTGCCTCCTGGCTGTTGTGGAGCCATTTCCGGGGGGCTGGAAGTGGGGGCAGCCGCTGCTCAGCCCAAGCCTGTGCCTGTCGGGCCAAATTCTGAGCAGCTTAACTTGTCAGCTTGACGGAGAAGGCGTTTCGGAGTGTTTATGCCTTGCTGGGGCGGAATCAGACGATCAGGGGATTATGGTGGATGGGGCCTGACAATCTGACAGCCTCTGGTTTGTAACAATCCGCCTCATCGCTGGCCCGGGGGATGGTTATTGTTAAGCCCTTAGAAGGGTTCCGCGAGGGGGGCCCGGATCCTGGGCCGTGCGGGCTCCCGGTGAGGACCAGGCAGAGCTGCGGGGACCCATCGGCGCTCTCCGCCTTCTTGCAGACGACCCGATCCGCCTGCTCCGGGAGGTGGTGCTGCTGACAGATGACCGGAACCTGCGGGTGAAAGCCCTGACCCGCAACGTGCCCGTGAGGGACATCCCCACGTTCCTGCGGTGGGCCCAGGAGGGCTGAGCAGGCACCTTCCCTGGGAAGCCGTGCAGCTCTTTGCCAACATGGAGGGTGGCCTCAGGGCGTGCCCTTGCCCCATGCCAGGGCTGTTGTGCTGCTACCGCTGCTGCCCCACCGCCACCATCATCGTTCCAGGAGACCCCAAGAACAATAAATGCAGCGTCTTCAACTCCACCTGGAATGGCCGTGCTGTGGGTGCAAGCACACGCGTGGAGAAGGAGGCCCCTGGGCAGGTGGTCTTGTGGAGGGAGGCTAGAACGAGCAGGGTCCCTGGCCTCTGGGGCGAGGGGGAGAGGAGAGGCGAGGCTGGTCGGAGGAGCCCGAGTGGGCCTCTCCTCCCCCGGCTGAGCTGGAGCAGCTGCAGCAACCGGGCGCCCAGAGTGCCGCCCTCTGCCTGAAGCCAGCATTGCTGCTCTTTGCCCCCGCCTGGGGCCAAGCGGCCACCTCCCTGCCCGTCTGTCTGTGGTTGTCTCAGGTTTTCAGCCCCTTCCCCATCCATGCCACTTCCCAGTCCCTCGTTCCCCATGTGCCATGGACTGACCCCCACCCCCACCCAGCGCACCTTCCAACCAAGCCAGCTCTTGCCGTGGGGTCACCTGTCGTGGGGCATGAAGACAGAAGTCAAGAATCAGAACAACTCTTAGGGTGGGAGCAAGGAGGCCGGACAAGTCCTTCTGGAGGAGAGCGGAGGGGCAGGCAGAAAAGGAGGGCCAAGGTCATGGCACAGCATCTCCCCTTGGTGCTCTGAGAGTGGTGCCGTGGGTGGGGAGAGACGCTTTCCCAAAGAGCTCCCTCCCCATGGGAAGAGTTTCCTGCCGACGTGGGGGGGGCTGAGTGCCCCCATGGGGCCATGTACAGGGACTGCGAGCGGGAGTACCGGCTTGCTGCAGGGCTGATGTGTGGAGGGCGGAAGAGCCCAGCCGTCTTCCCTTTCGATGGGATCTGCGCCCAGTGCCCCCCAGCCTTGGTACAGCCCCTTTGCAGGGGAGAGGAGGTCTCTTCTGCCCATTCCAGACTGGCTTGGATGGAGGGCTCATGCCCACTTTTGTTCTGTTGTTTTCTTAATAAACTTTTGGTAGGAAACCTTCCTCTGCTGCTTCCTTTGGGGCTGTGGGGCCGAGAGAGAGAGAGAGAGAGAGAGAGAGAGAGAGAGAGAGAGAGAGAGAGAGAAAAGTTTTCTGTGGGGAGAGGCGATTCGAGGGGGAGGGGTGTGGGACCCGAGAGAC